CAACCCTGCCCACAGACAAAATTGTACGCTTTTAGTAGGCTACAGTTGTAATGGAACGTTTGTTCACGGCACAGAATTCTACAATTTTTCTGTTATCACAGTGTAGAATTCTGTGGTTTAGGGTGAACGCAAAATTTGGTGAACGCGCACCGGGTGAGAATAGCCACAAGACTCGCCTGCACTATTCTCACTCCGGGTGAGAATAGAGGTGGCCGATCTAGATCTAGAGGTAGATCTATATCTAATCTAGTCTTGAAAAGACCAAAACGAATTTCAAACAATAGATCTAATAAGAAAATGTTCAAAATGTTTCTTTTTTATGAATATATCTAGATCTAGATATATCTAGATTAGTTCTCTAGATCTAGATCTAGAGTCTAGATATAGATCTAGATCTAGAATCTAGATCTACCAGTCCGAGATTCTCCATTGAGAATGAGAGATAAAAACTGGGGAAAATCATGAATATATGAATCCCTCCTCCTCTAAAAGGACAAGGTTGAGACATAGATTTTTAGATCTAGAATCTAGGCAAAGTCTGTCCGCAGGTCTGGTATTCTTCAATCTTACCTAGATCTAAATCTAGACTCTCGTATTTTTTGTTCAAGCGTAAAAATAAAACCATGGACACTAGGCCTAGGCTACAGTATCTTCCACACTTTTTCCAATTGATACCGTCTCAACAGTTGCACTTTTGTTTACACTTTCCAGCAGCTCATTCGAAGTTTACGCAACTTACGAAGGGAAGTTACTCTTCTAGGCTAGGCTTACTAGGCTAGGCGCTAGGCTAGATTTTCTACAGCATTTCCTCAACTGTTCTCTCCCTTGCCCGTAGTGAACGCAACCGACAACAAGAGAAAGACGGTCGGACGCGAAAGTTCTAGCATCTCCGTTGAGCACGCTGTCGTGCCGGCTACTTCAGACCTAACTGATTATTTCACAGCGTTCTCCCATCGCTATCCTGAGTTATGGCGGCTTCAGAAGCTACTCCGATGGAAATAGAAAAGCCTGTAAATGGAGTAGACCTCAGTGAGGGCCAGGATGGAGGAATTATCAAGGAAATTTTGCGAGAAGGAGAAGGGGATGAGCGGCCTGCGAAAGGAGATAGAGTTGTCGTACATTATGTTGGAACACTGCTGGATGGCTCTAAGTTTGATTCTAGCAGAGACAGGGGTGACACATTCACATTTAATCTTGGAAAAGGTAGGCATTTTGAGGTGTTCTGTCATAACAGTATAAACTAGAAGGAAGAGGCTAGCCGTGCCGTACTTATTCTTAATATGATGGCTAGACTGACTGATGGCTAGGCCTACTGAATTGTAAATTATACAGTAAATATATTTTTAGTGTGCAGTACCTAAAGTATTTGTATTTGAGACGAAACCAGGTGCCTTAATGACAATGCATGTATTTTAAACCTCCTGTTTTCTAATGTTAATAGGGCCTAAGACAAGATAAGTTAGTACGGCTAGACTGGCTGAGACAGCCAGGCTAGTCGTACTTAATAAGGACGGCTAGACTCAACTGTCAGGCTAGCCATACTTAATATTGATGGCTGAATTGTAAATGAAATTTTTAGTTTGCAATGCCTTATAAAGTATTTGTATTTCAGACAAAACCAAAAGGTGCCTTACTGACTTGCATGTATTTGAACACAACATCTAATCTAGATCTAGATATCTAGAATCTAGATTAGATCTAATGAGACCTGTGTACTTAGCAGGCTTGAGTCGATTGGGCCAAACCTAGTCTAAGTACGGCTAGACTGGCAGTCTAGCTGTACTTAAAAGTACGGCTAGCCACTTCGAAACTAGAGACGAGATCTAGATTCCGTGCTGGTCAAAATAGTAATAAAGATAGGGGCCTAAGGCCTACCCCACATGCCACATATACATCTCTCTGCAGTGCTATCTTTGGTCCACTTTGGCTGGAATGGCAGTTGGAAGGATATTGTAGCAATGGTTTAGTAGAGTACTGTTAAATACTTGTAACATTCAATCATGTCGCCTCTAGCTCTCTGATAGTACAGCGATGGCAGATCCAATTTTCTGAGACGATCGCAGTAAGCAAAGTGCTCTAGATCTAGTTCAGGAATTAGTTTGGTGGCCCGACGTTGCACTTTTACTTTTAAATTTCAAGTTGTTCTTCATCAACTTTAAGTCTGGGGTGCCAAGACCACATTTCCATTATACTCTCTAGATGAGGACGAATGGTTGATTTGTACAGAGTAGAAAGGGACACTTTGTGCAGCATTGTGAAACCTCTCCGGATCAGTGCGAGAAGATTGTTAGCTTTGTTGACTTGGATACTGACATGTTTGCTGAATTTAGGTCACCATCAATATTCACACCTAGGTCTTTTTCTAGTGTCACAGATTCTAGAGTGATGCGTTCACCTTTGGATGTCATCTTGTACTCACATGGGTTTCTATTTTTCCTAATGTGCATAACCTTGCATTTTTCTGCATTAAACCTCAATTGCCACTCATCAGACCAGAGCTGGAGTCTGTTCAAGTCATCCTGGAGGTTGTCCGAAAAGTCGGGTACTTCAGCAAAAATCTTCGTATCATCCGTGAACAGAAAAGTAGCAGAGAGGATATTTTCAGGGAGGTCA